GTCTCCGACGACCCCAAGTGCAACAGTAGCCACAGAGTTGCTTTTGTCTTCCTCAAATGGCCTCTGTCTCTGTCTGTCTCTCTCCCCCGCTCATTCTAGTTCCTCAACCTAGGGTTGACCGCCACCGTTCACCTCGAAGAACCTAGCTACGGCCCCTGCCAATCCCATCAAGTTCTGGTTGAGCTGAGATCTGAGTCTCAAGTAGACCCATCAAAATGGGTGGATCGGGTCGGGTTTGGATCGTGTTGAAACTGGTCCAACTCAAGTTGACCAATTTCCATACAATACAAATCTAGTGACCTATATCCATCTCAACCCATACCTAGCTCATATCCGATCCTACCCATATTGCTAAAATACTTACATATTTAATTAAATTTAGGAAAATTTATACTCAAATTGAGGTGATAGCACAGAGTAAACGAACATGAGATCAAGTGAGTGCGAGAGAGATTCATAGAGGTGGGTTGGATCTAAGTAAGTTGTGAACTCATTTAACACTCAAATTATTTTAAGTTTTACAATTCTAAATAATTTTATGACCCATTTATTAAATATAATTAACTTGTATAACAATTCAGCCCATTAAATATGAGTTAATAAATGGGTTTATGACCTATTTTAACAGATTTAATCTCAGGCTAATGGTCTGGTCTCACACCTTTTACTATTATTTTTTGATTATTTGGAGAAAAGCCCCATAAATGCTTGTCCTTGAGGCCACACTTGCCTTCCTTTTGTTTGTTTAATGAAAAAATCCAAGGTCCGTTTGTACATGCAATGAAACGGCAAGTTGGTACTTGAACTCTCCCCACGTGACCCTAGAATGTGGGGCTAGGGGATTCTCTCTGTTTTCCCACTTCCCGTGAAGGACAAAAAGGAAGTGCCATGACCAAACTGTCCGAGCTCACTGTTCAAGAGTGTACCTACTGAATCAGTTAAATATAAAACTACATATACAGAAGTTGTTGTTTTCGAGATATGCAAAAAAGACTACAGTTCCTATAAAAACACACAAAGCACATAATTTTACATTTTCAAAGCACAATAAGTCTTTCGACTAAAAAAACAAAACACAATAAGTCCCAATACTAAGAACACATTTTAATGTCCAGTAGTGCTTTGAAGTACGATGGAGTATCTTTCATAAAAGCAGATGTCGGAAGTGTGTGATTTTGAGTGTGCTAGAAGTTAGGTTTTTTTCAGAACACCTATTTTGAGTCTGCTTAGTATACAGTTGTACTTGTGCTATAAGTAACTGTGCGGTGTTGTATGGCATGCAGCATGCGCAATTTGCTAACATAATTTGAAGTTGCCTTTCCTTGAAGTTTTATGGGACTTCTTGATAAGCAATACGATAGGTAGCAGGACTTAAGAATTTGTCAAATATTTTATAAAAACTCTCTTTTTTTAATAGAATAATGTTAGATAAATTAAGTCTCAGTTACAAATTTAATATATTTACAAATATGACGGAGTTTTATTAGCTGTTGAATGTGGCCTATGTATTTTATTGAAATGACAACTTGGGAGCCGTATCTCCTAATATACCCATTTTATATATTAATCTAAGTGTAAGTAGCATTCTCATTGCATTAAAACACTTTGAAGATGTTACCGCTATCTTACAACTAGACTGAACACCCTGTAACTACCATGTAGAATGAGAATTTCCTGTGTATATGGATTTAGACCGTACATAACTTATGACAATGGTTAGATAATAAGAAATTTGTGTAGGACTTACCATCACTAGGTTCACAATGGATTGGATCTACACAAGGATTCTACTCAACAATGTCACTGGTTATTTCACACCTTAAGTCGTTTCGAACAAGTGAGGAGTATCACTCACTTTCAAATGGTCACAATTTTGAGTGGTCACATCTACTTACTTATTTTAAAACTACAAGAAAAGTCATTATATGTACTATTAAAGCGGCAAACCAATCGGAAAAGTGGGAACTAAATGCCGTGCAAGGCAAAATAATACGTGATGAGAGTCACTTTTTTAACTCAATCATGACAAAGATTCTACACCGTGAGAATCCTACTTGTCCGGTTTAGTTGAGTCGACACTAACCCAGATGATATTTAAATGGGAGAGATTAAAATACACTCCTAAGTCCTAATCCCAGATTTGATGCAAAAGGACCAATTAGTCCCCTTCTTAGTTTGATCCATGTGCCTAGTTGAGCCGTTATATTTCTCTTGAGGTTCTTGATTCTATCAAAACTAAGTAACACCAACACTGTTAATCTGCGGCAGCTTTTTAGCATGGGGCCTCAGCAGCAACAACTGGAACTTCCAAAGTTGAAACGCAGAGCAGCACATGGAGAAAATTTGACCCCTTGGTTTCCTGCTAAATATTCTACTTTTTCCCCGATCGTTGTCGTTGTCTTTGTCCACTTGGAGAAGCAAGTGACAGCAAAAGGCCAAATCCAAAGTTTTATTTCAATATCAAAAGGCCCAGGGTTCAAATTTATAGTGAGCCAAAATGAGGAGCACACACTTCTAGGAATCTAGCTTTGTTGACAGCTACCCTGCGCAGGATTCCCCTACAGGATCCAGCCGTCTCACATGGCGGCTGGCGGCTTTGCCGTTGAATAGGAACTTAGATCTCCCGCGAGATTGCAAAGATTCCACAGGAATATGTGGATTCTCCATCGTAAAACTTAAAATTTAGGACACTTTACAGAAAGCAAAACCAAGCTCCTTTTCTGCGCCCATGGCCGTATGCTTCCATGTGCCTTCCAGTTCCCGTCACCGGTGAACATGCGGCGTGATTTGATTCCCTGTCCTCCCTGTCCCACAGATCCTAAATCTTTAAAAAGTGGTGTAGGCTCTTCGTGTTGGGGAACGCCAACTTTTTCCTCCACTGTTGACGGTCCATAAACCTGCGGGACTTTTGTCCCTTGCCACAATTCGAAACCTTTTCCTAACTCTTTACTTTTTAATATTCCTCAAGCAAAAACTAATTAATCCCCCGGTTGTTTGCAAAGTTGAAGACTTTTAATTCAGAAATCCATTCGAATTTTTGGGTAGGGTCACTTGCGTAAACAAAAGTCTGAACATTATTGGCGGATCTCTACACCAGTGCCCTCAAATCATAAAAATGGATAAGTGCACTAGAAGTTTTAAAACTTATCATGAAAGTACAATTGAATCCTAAAAATTTCAAAAAATGCAATCAAGTCCTAAAACTTGTAACGAAAGTGTAATCGAGTTTTAAAATTTATCACGAAAATGCAATTGAGTACTTAAACTTTTAAAATGTGCAATCAACGGAAAAACTAGATTTGATCAATTTGACAAGTTTTTGGACTTGATTGCACATTTTAGAAGTTTTAGGACTTAATCGTACTTCGTGATAAGTTTTAGACTTAATTGCATTGCGTGATAAGTTTTAGAACTTGTTTACACTTTTTGAAAATTTTATTACTCAATTGCTCTTTTATGATAAATTTTAGTATTTATAATACACTTATTCCTCATAAAAGAGATAATAAACGCTTCTTCCTAGTTTTGATTAAGCCTCCAATATCTCTTATGTCTTTTTTTTGGCCCCTGTATCTTTATGTCGCGCTGAGTTGTTGTGTCTTCTTATGATCTCGATGGGCATGTGCATGCTTGGACGCGCATGCATGAATTTTTAGTATAAGCTTTTCGTTTTCACATTTACAACAATATTATGACTGATTCCAAGAAGGATGCCAAATACAAATGTCGGAACTGCCTTTTCAGCAATTTCATTAAGGTTGTATCACAAATGACTGTTTAATGTCATATTGATGTTTTAGACCCCTATCAATAGTTCTAATTAGTTTTCTGTGTTTCACAAATAGAGAATGGCATATGTGTGTAGAACCATTAATGAGAGGCAATACTCTGAAAGTATGCTGTAGATTCGTATCTAGACCATTTGAAATATAATTTGTTCGAACATGTAAATATCACTTTATGCATTTATCTAAAATTTTAAGATACTTAGCGGGAGATTTTGTGTTTAAATCTCTATAAATCCATTAAATTCGTTCTAAATACAAATGATTTACAGATATCATTCTTATGCCAAAAACCAGCCTAGGCATCACAGAAGTGATAGAGCATTTTAAGTAAAATCCAAACATTGATCTAATAACTTAAAGCGATATTCTGCTTTTGACATAGACGTCTTTGAGCATAACAACAAACCTTTGATTCTAGCAATCAACCGGAGATGATGCGATTCTAGATCTCATTCCCTTTTTAGGTTAATCGGGAAAGATTCATGACTATGTCTTAAGTGAAACTTTGAGGAATTGAACCATCATCGGTCACTTTAGATATCTAATTGAGTTCTGCTCAAGTTAGAGAATAAATTGACTTAATATATATAATACGATATGGAGCATCACCAACAAATATGTCGCAACCACTCGTCTATCCTCCAAGAACAAAGTGTCATATTCTCAGGATTTAAACTAAGTCGATTTTTTAAGAGTCTCCAATGCATCTCGTAGAAGTCTATTCCATTTAAGTTGGCCACATTTGAGTACGTAATGCATGTTATGAGGTGTGCTTTTGTACATGCACCTGAGAGAGAGAGTGCGTGTTTAATAGTGTTAGTGGAGTCTTCTTTAATTTATCATCTTGATGTAGTTTCTAGTTTCTCCTTGTAATATTTGGACTACTTTGATGCGATGGAATGTTTGTTTTAGAAAAAAAAAAAAAAAGCTGACATGAACTCGGGTGAGAGAGAGAGAGGGGGGTGGAATATAGTACTCTGTTTCTGCACATTGAGCTTACAATGAGGCTGTATATTGACCTCCTCTCATACAAGTGCTTGACTACAGTACATAAATCATTATCATTTAAATATCTAAGACAGAGAAACGGCACCGACCCCATAGTAACTGATAATATGATTGAGGACAAAGTCTAAACTACTTGATGAAACAACTATACAATCTATTCACCAAGAAGGAGAACAAGCCTTTACATGTATGAACCCCAGCTTCTTATGAATTTGGTCCTGCAGTAACCTTGTCTTCGAACGAATGCCCAACACCAGGGCTGTGACCGGGTTCCGTGGGTCGGAAGTCATTTCTCGCCGCAGCCACAACGTGCCTATAACCTCCATCCGTTTCTTTTGGTTCGACATCCTTTTCTCGAGTAAAAGAATGGCCAATCCTGGGACTATTTCCTGGTGTGGTGGGACGAAAATCGTCAACATGAACCGCTGCCAAATCATCAGGGCCAAGACTTTGCACCAGTGTGCTTGGCGACAGTACTTCTCCTTTCTCTGCAATCTTTTGTCCCGCGTCGGCTTTTTCGCTTACAAGCTTTGCTGAACTGATCTGGTAGTTTTCCTTAAGGGAATTGGCATTGTGAGCTATGGTATGCTTCAATGGCCTTGCATCTATGGAGAGAATTTCATGGATGATCATCACTGCAAACAAGATTAGAGAGCCTTTTCTTATGGGTGGGGAAAATATTGCCATAGCTGATAAACAAGATACTTAGTAATGGATGGTAATGAAGAAGATGAAGCAGCAAACTGAAAGATTGGTCAGGGCTAGTTGGGTTTTATTTATGGAGTATGGACAGGTTTGATTTCGGTGAGGTGATGGTAATGGACTTATTATTGTATGGCTATTTATAACCATGAAAGCATTACCATCCTCACTAATTCATCTATTAAATTGAATGAATGGAGTTCACATGATTTTAATTTGAATGGTCTGTGTTAAGTGCTTTCAAAAGTGCCCTTGGCTGTTTGGACACATAACGAAAGAGAAAGAAAAGTTGACCTCTCAAAAGATTTATGCGCATTAGATATCTTGGAGATCTTCTCTACATATCTCATAGGTCATACAAGCTGAAAGTTCGTGATCACTTATTGTTCATTTTATATGTAGCTAGCAGCTTACCATTAAAGGTGGCATGGGAAAATGTTTGATTTATAGTTTTAAATCATGTGTAGGGAATGCAACCGAGTATATATATTTGAATAGGTGCTATTAAGTTATAATGTTTTCTTAAAACATGTACAATCAAGTTCATCTAGTCACGAGTTGCGCTATGTGTCAAACCGGAACTTGCCTATAGGCAGATTTCTTTATTGCACTTTAGAGGTTCAAGATTTACTCATATCATATTATGTGAATGTTTAAAAATTTGATCGCCTTATGTATAAGAGTTTAGTACTCTTACAAGTAAGCCCCAAACTGTCTCAAACACTTGCACGTGAAATGTAATTCGGTTATAAAAGTTTTGAAGTGAGAAAGTATGTGCACGCAGTTCAGTATTAAGACTTTTTCCACTAAAAAAATTAAATTCAAATTTCGAACAATTGTTCGGTCAAGGACTTTCATTTATAATTTTTTCTATATCTGCATTGCCACACATTACCATTTGAAAATGACTTGATGTATCAATTATCCCATGTCACGATGAATTAAAGGAGGCTATGGGAACGGCTGCGTCCTGATTGCTTCGTGCTTATTGTAATTTTGGATAGATATACATGTGATAATCTAGGAAATTCCATGTGAGCTTCTATATCTGACCCCCTTAAGTTAGATTAGTACAAGATTCTACGGATGGTAAATTAAGGATATGCATCATCGAGAGCAGCAGCCCTTATACAAATGAATGCCAGGGGCGCAAGCAGGAATCTTCCCTGAGGTGGACAAACTCAACTTAGAAACATGAAGCTCGTCATTTCGTGGTAATTCAGTCGAAGCCTTTAAGTCAATCTAGCATGGGATGATTGTCCAATTTGATGGCCATACTCAATCAATTTCTTCACCACCAAGAGATTGATCACTTGTATACTAATTAGAGCTGTATTTTCTATCGAGCGCTGCACTAAAATGGACTCTAATTGGAAGAAAGTTTGAGCCACCACCCAGTGTGTGGCGGCAAAGTTGGAACTTGGAAATACATCCAATTCACTCCCATCTCTATAGTATTTGTCTTGTTAAGCAATTGCCAAGAAAAGTTAAAAGAAGAAGCACGTGATTAACATGGAAATATTACCGTGTTTTAGTCAAAGGTGAACTTAACACGCATTTAAATTCTTGCCTTTTTGAATTGGCTTGGTGACTAAAGAACCGATGTGTATGTAGATTAGGCATACGTGCCAGATCGATTCCATTCCTCTACCATCTTATGAAAACAATCTAATGTTTAAGCTACCCAACTCGAGTTGTGGCTCCGGCTAATTTAAAGTTAGCGGGGTACTTCACGTATTTGACTACCTAAGATATGTGCTTCTATATCATTGAGAAAAAACGAAGAAATTAATGTAAAGCATCTCATATTCAACAAGAGAAATCCGTCGCATACGCGTTTAATGTGTTGAAAATTTGTTAATTTGGTCGATTCTATTCATTTGTTGGTTTCTTGCGGGAGGCTGGCTCTGATTACATTGTGATTTGAAAGAAGTGAAGGGATGGTAATCATCTCTACAGAATTTTGTATTCTGCTTATAATAATTAAGGATAATTTTCTTTTACAAGAATAAGTTTGCTTTGTGGTTTGGCAGAATTGGACCCCTCGAATAACTTAACTTGTGAACCAAACCTAACTAACCTTTTCTCTTTCCTCCTTAGGGTTCTCTCCTCTCCCTCTCATCTTCATTCAGCTCTCTTCTTCAACCTCGATGGAGGGAAGGGTTTGAGCTAAACCTCTCCCTCCCCTCCTTTTTCCTTTTTCGTTGGCTGATTTAGTTTCTTATTGTTTTTCTTGCGTTCCTCCCGTTATAAGGAATTTTTCTCTTCTGATCTCGTTTAGATCTGGAAGTTTCTCTCTCCCGTTTTGGGGTAGTTTCTATCCCGATATAGTCTAGAGTTGGGGATTTTTACGGTATAATTCTGGGGCTTCGCTTCCCTTTGGTTTCACTAGTGTGCAAGTCCAGTTTCAAAGGAAATCGGAGGAGTTTCGTAAAGGCTTTGCTCTCGTAGGTGTCACATTTGTGCTTGTTCAATCTTATTACTCTAAACGGTGATGGTGTTGGGAATGTCGAACTTAGGTGCACATCACCGAAAGGCAAAATCGTTGCAACAGATGGAGATCTCAGTATGTTCTTATTACCGAAGAAGAATTCAGTAATCGGCCACCGATTTTGATTTGAAAAAATCATAGATCTACCCTTTGAGCATGTAACATCTAATCTTGTTGTGATGACTCATCTTATTATCTAGAGTTTATTTTGTTCTAGAGTTCTTTGGAATTTGTCTTGGTTTGCAATTATACCGTGTGGTTTCTCTCTTGTATTTCTATGGAAATGAATGAAATGTTACTTTGACAAAAGATAGCTTAACTTGTTTGCATACGTCAATGTAATTAGTCTAACTTTTCTTAGTGATTTCGAACATTACCATGATACATACGGACAAAATACACTTTAATTAAAAAATTCTACAAAAAGTCTAATGCGCAAGCGCCAAATTAAAGAAGAAAGTTACATCCCCTGAACCACCAGTGATGAGAAACTTTGGTGATGACAACCGGAATTCAACGAGAGTCATCGAAAACGACATTTCCAAAAGAGAATGACACTCCATTTTGACTACATAATGATTGGTTGAACCTTTGCAATCAAATCGCATTCGATTTTGACTTCCTGGCTGTTTCTTGTTATTGGACGAAACGTAATGGCATGGAGCTGTCACATCATAAACCAAATGTACCAGGAAACTTCCTTTTTGTTTTTGTGGGTAATCAAATATTCGGGGAAACTTCGTTGTAATGTGTTACAAAAATGAGATAACTGGAGAAGTCATCTTTAAATTTATCTCCCTATCAAATACCATCTTCACATTTCAAAATTTTCATTTTGCATCTCCATAATTTAGAGTGACCTACTTGCCCTCATGCACACCCGGTATCTACTTCCAAAACATGAAATTTAAATTGAGGATGGGGTAATCTGGAAAAGAAAATGGCGACTTGATAAATTATGTGTGGGTGGGAGATGCAATTTGAAGTCCAATGCAGAAAGTGAGGTTGATAATGGTGAGGTTACCTCTTATGGAGTGCAAAGTTAAGGAGGGAAAATTACCAAAACAGTCCTAGACTTATTGCAATTGGGCTAATTTATTCATAAATCTTTTTTTGGCCAATTCAGTCCTAAACCTTTTGCATTTGTGTCAATTCAGTCCATTCGGCCACTTTTAGCCGCCGATGCTGACATGGACACCAGCCGTCTAGCTGACGCTGATGTGGCAATTTTTAATTTTTTTTAAAAAACTTTCGAATTTTTTTTATTTTTTCCCTTTCTCTTTCCATTTTTATTTTTATCTTTTCTTTTTTCTCCTGTTCGGTTGCCGGTCACTGGACCAGCCAAGGGCTAGGGTCAACGAGGTGACCTCGCTGGCACTGGCGAGGGTGAGCCTCAACCTTGCCATCGTAGGCGAGGTCGACCGATGACCTCACCATGGCTATGGCCAAGGTCGACCATGGCAATGCTCGACCTTGCCGGATCTAGGCGAGGTCGTCGCCCTCACCATGGCCGACCTCACCCACGACGGCGAGGTCGAGGCTCACCCTCGCCAGTGTCGGCAAGGGCGAGCCATACTAGTGGCCAGCGAGGTCATCTTGCTGGCCCTAGCCCCTGGTCGGTCCAGTGACCAGCCAGGGGAAGAAGGAAAGCAAAAAAAAAAAAAAGAAAGAGACAGGGAAAAATATAAAAAAAAAATTTTAATTTTTTTTTTTAAATTGCCACGTCAGCATCGGCCGGACAGATGGCATCCACGTCAACGCCGATGGGGCAAAAGTTGCCAGATGGACTGAATTGGCATTAATGCAAAAGATTTAAGACTGAATTTGCAAAAAAAAAATTTTGGACTGAATTGGAACAATTGCAATAGGTTTAGGACTATTTTGGTAATTTTCCCAAGTTAAGGATGGTATTTCTAATTTTCCCAAAGAAAATTTAATAAACCTGACGTTGTTCGAGATTCAATTGGTCCATTGTGTATACAACTTACATACATAGGATCATTACTGTTTACGCCCTCGCTCAAACATAAAAATTCTAACTTATGAGTTGGATCTCATCAATTAGCAACGAGATTTGTATCTTTCGGCCATACAAGGACGGTCAAAGGTGGCACTTCCTCAATTGCCGTCGACGGCACAGTGCTTGACGCAATGCAAGCACCTTCATCAGAAAATGGCGGCAGCTACTACTGAGGACATTTTGGGAATTTACGAAGATTACGAATATCCTCATTTGAGACCTCGAATATTTTTATCAACTTTTTTAGGCTCCTTTGATTTGCAATTACTTCTATTTTATTTGTTGATAGTATTGACATGTATGAACGACTTTATCTTTTGTAATGAAAAAAAATCTTAAATTGAGAGGCCTTTCAACATTTTTTTAACATTATAATTAGTTAAAAAGGGGAAGTTCTTCAAGACAATAACCATAAATATT